ATTTAGTTTTATACATTTGTTTACATCGACTTCTGTGGTTATTTGCAAGTTCACTTTCAGCAGAATAGCTTAAGATTTTGGTCAAATAAACTGTAGTGTGTAAATGACATTGATGCAAGGTCATAAAATGGCATTAATAGTGGGATCAATAAACATCAAACATTTTAAATTGGATTTGGTTTAGATTTATTGCCATTTTCCAGGTCAACACAAGGTCAACAATGCAATGAAGTGCTCAGGATGAGAAGAACCATCTCAACTCACCAAAAAAACAAGAAATACCAAATTATGCAACAAAAATACAAAACAAAGCACCAAAAGTGGAAAAGAAATACATCTACAGCAGCATGGTTCTATTAGCAGTGTGGTCCTGTTGGCATGGCAGTTGATTGTCACTGCCAACTGTGAGAACCAACTGTTGACAGTGAGTTTTACGATGCCAGTAAACCACTTTGGTCTGGACTCCAATCAGACTAAATGTGTATCGATCTGGTCAAAATTAACATTTGTTTTTTGTTTTGTTTTTTCAAAATGAAATTGTCCAAAGCGCTGTCTGCAACAGGTAAGATATTATTAGTTCATATACCCTTCCAAAGCACCCCACTTTAAAAGTTCTGAACTATTGCTTTAAGGTATAGTACTGTCTATACTGTATTTTCCTGCCTATAAGTTACACCTTTTTGCCTAATTTGCATACCCTGCAACTTATACGCCGAATCCACATTTATGGATTTTTTTTTTTACCATATTTATAACCCAATTTTTAACTGAGATATGACCGTTTTCATTCATTCTGACATTGAAAATATTGAGCACTACCAATTTCAGCTGCTAGATGGCACTCGAGTAGTATGGCATGCTGTTTTGTCATGTAATAGGTAAAAGTGACTATTAATGACAAAATCAGCTATGCATAGACTGCCACCTTCGTCCAAATCTGGGATCATGCTTTTATTTGATTTCGCTGCACCATCCGGTGAAATGCAGCTAATTTGACAATTGAAGTGCATTTATTAAGTAAAAGTTAAACTGAGACACACTTTTACTATAAAGTCGAGCAAACAAATAATTCATAATTCATAACATAATAATTCATAACTGGCTGAGATTATCGTACCCACCACTGCGCCCAGTATTCATTGGTTAACTGGTCATCATTTTCATCTTTAAATCGCCCCTATGATGAGAAAAAGAAATGGACTTGATGTTCCCTCGCCTGGACGTGGGTCACCGGGGCCCCACTCTGAAGCCAGGCCTGGAGGTGGGGCACATGGGCGAGCGCCTGGTGGCCGGGCTTTTATCCATGGAGCTTGGCCGGGCACAGCCCAAAGAGGAGATGTGGGTCCCCCTTTCCATGGGCTCACCACCTGTAGGAGGGGCATGGACCAGTTTTTCTGCATCATTTTTACATTAGATGTTTCTAAAATTAGTGATATTATGCAGGTGGAAGAAGGCAGTTCTAGTAACGTTTTTAATGTGGGGGATAAAAGACATGTCCTGATCAAAAATAACACCAAGATTTTTAACATTAGAGCTGGAGGACAGATTAATGCATCTAAGGAGGGAGAAAGACTCAAAAATTAATTCCTAAGGTGCTCAGGTCCAAAAACCAAAACCTCAGTTTTGTCTGTTCAACAGGAGAAAATTAAGGGTCATCAAGGTTTTTATGTCTTTAAGACATGCTTGTAGTCTAAGTAGCTGATTGGATTCATTGGGTTTAATGGACAAATATAACTGTGTGTCATCAGCATAACAATGGAAATTTATCCCATGCTGTTTAATAACTTTACCTAATGGAAGCATATATAAAGTAAAGAGTATTGGCCCAAGCACTGAGCCCTGAGGAACTCCATGACTAACTTTGGTGTATGAAGAAGATTTATTATTTACATTTACAAAATGGAATCTATCAGATAGATATGATTTAAATCATTTTAGAGCTGTTCCTGTAATCCCAATATCATATTCAAGCCTCTGTAGTAAAACATTGTGATCAACTGTATCAAATGCAGCACTGAGGTCTAACAGGACCAGTAGAGACACAAGTCCATTGTCTGAGGCCGTGAGAACATCATTAGTGACTTTTACTAGTGCTGTTTCTGTGCTATGATGAGCTCTAAACCCTGACTGAAACTCTTCAAACAGATTATTTCTTTGTAGATGTTCACACAACTGACCTGCAACTATTTTCTCTAGAATTTTTTAGATGAAAGTTAGATTAGATATAGATCTATAGTTGGCCAGAGTTTCTGAATCAAGGTCAGACTTCTTAAGTAAAGGTTTAATTACAGCAAGCTTAAAGCTCTGTGGTACATAATCATCCATTAAAGACAAATTAAGTAGATCCAAAATGTGGACATTAATTAGGGGAAATACCTCTTCAAACAGTCTGGTTGGGATGGGATCTAGGAGGCATGTGGATGGTTTGGATGAGGTTATTATTTTTGACAATTCAGAGCTCAACAGGACAAAAACTGTCCAAACATAAATCAGGCTCTAGTGAAATTTTTAAAGTTGTCTCATTTGACAGGGGACTAGAGATAGTAGAAGGAAGGATGGTTTGAATTTTCTCTCTAATTGAAATAATTTTATTTATAAAGAATCTCATGAAGTCATCACTACTTATAGTTGTAGGGATACAAGGTTCAACAGAAATGGGACTTTTAATTAGTCTAGCAATAGTACTAAACAGAAACCTAGGGTTATTTTTATTCTCCTCTATTAAAGATGAGTAATATAAAGTTCTAGCTTTACGGAGAGCTTTTTTATATGTTAGCAGACTATCTTTCCAAGTTAAATAAAATTCTTCAACATTAGTAGAGCGCCATTTTCTCTCCTGGTTTCTAGATGCTGCTTTAAAGTAAGTAACTCAGAATTGAACCAAGGAGCCAGTTTCCTCTGATTGATTACTTTCTTTTTCAGTGGAGCAATTTTATCAAGTGAAGTTTGCATTGAAGTTGTAAGATGATCAACTAGATGATCTAAGTCTCTGTTCTCTGATACATTACTCTGCAAGACAGAGGAAAACATTGATGGAAGAGATTGTTTCAATTTGGTTACAACATTTTCTGATAAGCTCCTGCTGAGATGAAATTTACTCTCAGTGACTGTGTAGTCATTTAATGTAAACTCAAAGTTATTAAAAAATGGTCGGACAGAACAGGATTTTGAGGAACTATTACCAAGTCCTTAATCTCTACACCATAGGTCAGAACTAAATCAAGAGTGTGATGATAAGAGTGAGTAGATGTGCAGACGTTTTGGGTAAAACCAAATGACTCTATTAAATTATTAAAGGCTATGCTTAAACTATCACTTTCAACATCTACATGAATATTGAAATCACCCATTATGATGATTTTATCAGTATTTAATAATAAGTCAGTTAATAATTCTGAGAATTCAGACAAAAACTGAGAGTAAGCTCCTGGTGGACGATGTATAACAACTAGTAAAAGTGGCTTTTCTGAATTCCATTTTGGATGAGAAAGACTGAGGGACAGCGATTCAAAAGAATCATAACTAATAACTGGTTTAGCATTAATCAATAATCCTGACTGAAAAATAGAAGCTACTCCTCCACCTCAGCCAGTTGTTCTAGGAACATGAACATTTAAATAATTAACAGGAGTGGATTCATTTATACTAACAAAATCCTCCTGTTGTAGCCAAGTTTCTGTCAGACACAATAAATCAATATGATGATCAGTTATCAGTTCATTAACTAACAGGGATTTAGAGGAAAGAGATCTGATGTTCAATAATCCACATTTAATGATTTTATGATTTTGCTCTGGTAAAGTAACTGAGTTTATTTTAATCAGATTTTTTTTATGGTTTATATTTTTAGAGTTGATTTTTGGTTTATTTAATTTGAGCCGTGGGCGAGTTGACACTGTTTCAATGTGGGTGTGGGTGGTGTACAGAGGAGAAGCAGCAGAGAGGTGGAGGACTACAACTCTGCTTCCTGGACTGGACCCTGGGTTGTCAATAATTTGGGGGATAAACAAAATCAGCCATATTTCTAGAAAGAAGAGCGGCTCTGTCCAAAGTGGGATGGATGCCATCTCTCCACATCAGACCAGGTTTTCCCCAGAAAGAACTCCAGTTATCTATGTAGCCCACGTCGTTGTCAGAACACCACCTGGACACCCAGCAGTTAAACCACGACATGCGGCTAAACATGTCATCGCTGGTCAGGTTGGGGAGGGGGCCGGAGAAAACTACGGAGTCCGACATGGTTTTTGCAAAGTCACACACTGAAGCAACATTATTTTAGTGACCTTTGATTGGCGTAACCGGGTGCCATTACCAGAAAACCGGAGCGGAGTAGGAGAAGGTCCTTTTGTCTAGTTCAGTCCTCAGTGAGGGAACACTGCAGGTAATGATGTCCTGAGAGCGCACGTTGTAGCTTCTTTCACAGAGACATGTAGGAGGAGATGTATGAAGGCAGCAGACCAGGAAGTAATTTAAAGATGAAAATGTACCAGTGAGAGAGTCTGTGAAGGTATTAATGACCAGTTAACCAGTGAATACAGGGTGCAGTGGTGGTTACGGTAGTTACAGCCATTTATGAATCTTAGTGCACCATGATAGACACCATCCAACATCTGCAGCATCCAACATCTGCAGGATGCTTGTTAGAGCGTTCATGTAAATAATGTCACCGTAATCAATGGAGGGAAGGAAAGTCGTTAGTTTGAAGCCACTTAGTGATCAAGATGGCCATCGCAGCTAATTGATGCAAACAAACACAAAAATTGTTACACCTTGGCCAGTTTTAAACATATTCAGCTCAAATTTGGTGTGGTAGTACCTGAGGGTCATTCCAGCCCACACTCTGACTCAGCAGGTACAGATGTGTGTAAAACTTGGAATAAAAGGTGGTAAACTTTCTTTATAAGATGGTTGTCTGTAGCAACTTAAGTCAGTTTAAACACAATTTATAGAAGACCTGCAACAAATGTGCTAATGATCTGTTCCTTTTTGTGTTTGCGCAGGGATCAAGGTTTCAGCTGTGTGTCTGAGGCAGTCGGAGCCGATCACAGGGCAACGGGCGGGAAATGTTGACACAAATCGTCAGGGATTCACAAAAACTAGACCAAACCTGAACAAAACGCAGAGATATTTGAACTCCTCCACTTGAGGCTGTGCATGTGTGTATGTACCGTATATGTGTATAAATTACATTGTTCTGTATTGTGCTTCTTTATTTAAAGTAGTAGTTGTAGTTAAGACCTGTATGTCCAGATCTTAGTCTTGTCATTAACTTTAAAGCTATCCAGGGCTTGACATTTTATTTCTACAGGAAGTGTATGTCTTTTTCATGTCATAAAACATTACTTGTACACTCGTTTTACACATTTTATCAAAATACGTGCAACACCTTTTCTTAGTTGGAATGTTAGCCTACTTCCAACTCAAATTATGATTGGATGAATGTAGTGATGTGTTTAACTGTATCAAAAATTTAAAAGAGTAAATGCACAAAGGTTTTTCAAGCAGGCCTACACAAATCCCACTTTAGAGGACGTCCAGCTTGTATTTCTGATTTATAAACATCTTTGGTTAGGAAACCTGCGTGTTTTCAAGGAATAATTGTTTTTTTATTGTCAGCGTACACAGCAACGTTATCACAGCCTTCAGATTTCAGCAGATGATCCAGTTTTTGTGTTTTTCTGGAGAGCATCGCTTGATGAGAATAATTTACAATTATGCAAGAAAATAACACTTTAAGAAACACTGGTTTCTATGTATTTTTCCAAGGACAAAGTTTCTGAAGTCAGATCAGTTTATTTTTGTAGCTCCAAGTCACAACAGAAGTCATCTCAGGGTTCTGAACAGGAACATTCATATATAAAATAAGTTAACAGAAACATTCATATGTAAAATAATAAGTTGACAGAAACATTTTTATATAAAATAATAAGTTAACAGAAACATTCATATATAAAACAAGTTAAACATTTATATATAAAATAATAACAGAAACATTCATATGTAAAATAATAAGGTAACAGAACATTTATATATAAACTAAGTTAACAGAAACATTCACATGTAAATATCCTGATGCATGCTCAATAATCCAGGTAGAAAAATCTAAAAAAGTTAAATCTGGTCCTCTGGACATTCAAAAAAAAAAAATCCTGGACAGAGAGGAACGATGGTTTGAGAGAGGAGTAAAGGAGGCCATCTTTGTGAAAAGAAATTGTCCATCATTAAACAGGGGTGGAGGCCTCCTGGTTCAACTGTCCCCCTCTTACAATGCTGTGATTGCTAGTATCACTCAGCCCTCTGTGAACAGTAAACAGCCATCAGGTGCTAATGATCCATTGTTAGGCTGATGGTCCTTCTTGAGCATGTGAGCAGCTGGTTCTGGTTGTCAGCAGCAAAACTGGTTGATCCACTCTGAGAAGGTGATATTTAAGAGACTGAGCTGAATACAGCACCTCAGACTGAGGAAGTCCTCAGGATGAGAGACGAAACGTTTCTACATTTTTTTGTTGATTTGCTTTGTTTTGTTTTTTTGAATGTCCAGAGGACCAGATTTAACTTTTTTAGATTCACATGTAAAATAATTAGGTAACAGAAACATTCATATATAAAATAATAAGGTAATACTATTTATAAGTCCTGAAGGATAAATCACGTCTGCCTTCATGTGGCTGTAAACACGAGGTCTGACGGTTTCTGAGGTTTCAAAGCTCAATATGACAGCTAGTCAGAAATCTTTTCAACACATCTGAGTGGCATCATGGCCTCCCGTTGAAACACATGACTGCTTTTCCAGATATTCTTAGCATTTCATCACTTATTGACATGTTGAGATGCCATTTTAGCCCATCACAAAACAAGCCCAGAATAGACTGTTAATCATTGCCGGTGAAGGATCAGCTGCAAGCTGCCGAAGACTTCCTGTTTCCTGAGGCCAAGAACAGCCTGGATCATATCCCATATGTGGTGTCAAGAAGTGTGGAGGAAAGGCTTCCAGATAAGTGAAACTTTCTAAACTGATGACCACTTGGATTTACGTTTTCCTAAAAACAACTTCTGTCGAGGCTGGAAGGAAGCAGCTGCAGTCACACAGCCGGCTTTTCCATAGGGGGTTATTTTTAATTTCAATCTGACCACAAGCAGAAAAAATAAGATTCACTCACTTTTTTTTCCTCCCTGGCTCTCATTGAGGTGGCTGCTTCTGTCATTCCTCCCCCGTTTTTCCTTCCTCCTGCTCTGCTCTCTGTGTGTCTGAAGTGCCTGGTTCACATCTCCCGAACATAAATTAAGAAGATTATGGATTTGGTATTGTGGGCGTTCAACTCTATTGATAAGATATTTTCATCAAAGTGACAAGGTCCTGGAGAACCAGAACCTGTATGTCCAACTGAGACTCACACTCTGGGGTACGTCATGGATCCGTGGGGAGCATGGCAGCTGATGTGCCTCAGTTCTGTCTCAGGAGGATGTTGAAGACGTTTATATATTTGGAATTATGATAGCAGGGACTCTGCTTTTTGGCATCGGCGGTGCTCTGTTTTATCGACTTTTGAAGAAGACATTGGTTGCAGTTTTGGCCATGGAAAAGCTTCCGAGTCAGTGTGAAGGTCTGGTCCACGCTGTGGGAACTTTAAATCGTCTGGTTAATGAGCTTAACCGTAAGGTGGAGGCGATTTATGAGAATCGCAGGCCACCTGCGGCTTCTGGGACTCGTCAGCGTGGTGGGTTCGACCTTGAAGGAGACTCATAGCATGGATCAGTGGAATTGAATCCCACAATTAGGCATTTTTGGAACCAGAACGCCCAAATAACTCGAGGCTGGAAAAAAGTAATCTCTGCCTGAAGAAAAACAAGAATCATGCTTATCTGAATATGACTCCCCAACGGCCTCGGAGACAGGCCGACTATCAAATTTTTCCTGGGACATGGGTAACCAAGGACAAAAGCTTCATCTATCGCACCCACCCAAGAACTGTCTGTGCAAGCTTATCAGAACTGCTGGCTGGAACAACATCTTCAGAAACTGTGGCTGATCTGAAAAAATGCTCATGGACAAATCGCAACACCTTGATGTCAAATGCAAATGTAATCATGTTTTAACGGAGCTGCTGGTAGAGTTTTTTGATGTCTCAAATTGTGTCCTGATGGACAAGATGTGAAAGATCTTTTTTTGTAATACCAGAATCAGAATCAGTTTATTATTACCATGTCAATGAACGAGGTTCGCAAACAAGGAATTTGCTTCGACATAAAGGTGCGAATAGTAATAAAGTAAAATAAAGTAAAAATGAAAACATTACATGAAAACATACCACCATCTACCCTCATGTTTCTATCCCTTTTCCTATCTAAGATTATTATTCTGAAAAAGGATAAGAAAAGGCCGCGCTTTCTATAGTTGTAGCTTCGTGCACTCCGCCCATCTTTTGGATGACTGTACGTACATGTTTGTGTTGTATCTCGGTGCAATGCCAATAAAGTTTATTCTAATTCTGATTCTGAAACAACTGTTACACACATGCATGTTTTACTGACAAGGTCAATAATAAAATATTTACTGCTCAATCATTGTTTTTTTGTCGCTAAACAAATGATCACAAACTTAAGTGAAACTTTGTCTAACTCTGAATGCTAGGAAACACCTTGTATCTGTGACTTTCCTTCCCTCCATTGATTACGGTGACATTATTTACATGAACGTTCCTACAAGCACCCTGCAGATGTTGGATGCTGTCTATCATGGTGCACTAAGATTCATAACTGGCTGTAACTACCGTACCCACCACTGCACCCAGTATCCACTGGTTAACTGGACATCATTAACTTCACACAGACTCTCCCACTGGTACATTTTCATCTTTAAATCACATCTTGGTCTGTTGCCTTCATACAGTGCCTTGCGAAAATATTCTGTCCCCTTGAACTTTTCAACCTTTTGCCACATTTCAGGCTTCAAACATAAAGATATAAAATTTTATTTTTTTGTGAAGAATCAGCAACAAGTAGGACACAATCGTAAAGTGGAATGAAATTTATTGGATGTGTCAAACTTTTTTTAACAAATAAACTGAAAAGTGGGGCGTGCAGTATTATTCGGCCCCCTTGCGTTAATACTTTGTAGCACCACCTTTTGCTGCAGTTCCAGCTGCAAGTCTCTCGGGGTTTGTCTCTGTCAGTTTTGCACATGGAGACACTGAAGTTCTGCCCATTCTTCCTGCAAAACAGCTCAAACTCAGTGAGGTTGGATGGAGAGCGTTTGTGAACAGCAGTCTTCAGCTCTTTCCACAGATTCTCGATTGGATTCAGGTCTGGACTTTGACTTGGCCATTCCAACACCTGGATACGTTTATTTGTGAACCATTCCATTGTAGATGTGTCTTTATGTTTTGGATCATTGTCTTGTTGGAAGATAAATCTCCGTCCCAGTCTCAGGTCTCTTGCAGCCTCAAACTGGTTTTCTTCCAGAATGGTCCTGTATTTGGCTCCATCCATCTTCCATCAATTCTGACCATCTTCCCTGTCCCTGCTGACAAAAAGCAGGCCCAAACCATGATGCTGCCACCACCATGTTTGACAGTGGGGATGGTGTGTTCAGGGTGAGGAGCTGCGTTGCTTTTACGCCAAACATATCGTTTTGCATTGTGGCCAAACAGTTGGATTTTGGTTTCATGTGACCAGAGCACCTTCTTCCACATGTTTGGTGTCTCCCAGGTGCTTGTGGCAAACTTTAAACAACACTTTTTATGGATATCTTTGAGAAATGTCTTTCTTCTTGCCACTCTTCCATAAAGGCCAGATTTGTGCAGTGTACGACTGATTGTTGTCCTATGGACAGTGTAGTATGCTAAAAGGCTAGGTTAGCTTCAGAGCTCCACTACAGTCATATTTTAATAACGGGTTCTCTCTTTTTCGAGCTACTTGACAGATATGTGACAGAGGTACTGTGCGTAGATGGTTTAATCAGTGACATGAGACGTTAATTTTCTTTGACCCATCAAAATAAATGTGGTCATTTATTAACAGAATCAAAATTTAACATCAAAACATTGTACACTTGATTAGACTGATCTGGTTCTGATTAATAAAACTTGGCACGTTTTACTTAATTAAAACAACAGACATTTCTGAAGGCATCTGGATTAATTACTGGCAAGATAGAAGTTTAAAGATGGGAAATGGAGTTTAAATGTAGAGAAAATGTGGAGGAAGATGTAAGTCTGTAGACCAGAACAACATGCTCCTTTCAAACGCAGCTCGCCGTGGTACACTTGTAGTGAAGCCAGTGACGACTCTTTACCTTTGCGGAGAAT